CGGAGACTTGCCACGGTCTCCACCCCTCCTCCTTTCTCATCCGGGCTTGGGACCGGCCATGGCGGAGTTCGTCTGCTTTCATATCAGTCGAAACTATAGCTGACAACCAATTGCAAGAAGTTCCCATGGGAGCTAGTATAACACAGTGAAAGGGCCGTTGTAGAAATTGAGACCCGCACTTTAAACCAGGTAAGACACTGACTCAAATGTAATCACAATGAGGGTCTTGTTTATTTTCATACGACGCAAACTTTATCAGCGATGGACAAGGAAGGAAACAGATGATTCGCGATTCCTGGCACCTCGATCTCCCGTATACTTTCATGATTGGCACCACTGATGGTAGGTATCTTTTCTTTCACGAAAGAACGCCGCCAGGGGTGCCTGCCCATCATAGAAACTAACACAGACCAACATCTCTATGGTTATAAACTTTCCTTTGTAATTGCTATGTATAGAGGATACGGTGCGGCACTAATTTCTATTCCCATTCAATCAGCTAAGAGTGCTTTATTTTAAAGGCAGTATCTACAAGTATGTAGCCAGCATAACATATATCCCTGTTTTCTCTTCAACAAAGTGGTGTTTGTTCACTTATCCATGACAGGAGAATGACCCGATTGGATCCTGACTTCATGATCCTGCGACTGCGAGTCCAACACTCTGCAAAATAAGCAGATCCTGTCAGAGAAGAACGATGAAAATAAAAAGTTTCTAAGTAGAGCGTTACGAGTACTCAAACTCACAGTCTGAATTTTAAACACAGTAAATCGTTGTTACCAAGTACTGTTACAGCTCCGTCCATCTTGCGTATTTTCGTATGGATCACGTTCAAATTACTACAGCCAAAAAAACTCCCATGAAAAGTTTCCATATAAAGCTAGTAACCATAAGAGTCACAGCTCATCCTTAGAAATGAAATCAGGCAATATGCTGATACAAAATACCATCACTGAACTTATTTATGCTGACTATTTTCAAACGACCATACTGTAGCCCCACAGGCGCAACAGAAAGTTTAGACGTAGCACGTGATTAATACTCGAATAGGAGTGATTTTACAGGCACGGTTTGTACTTTGTACTTTGACACCGGCAAAATATTGTCATGTAATGTACTGTCGCAAATCTATCCGACTTGTCTGCTTTCGCATCGGTCAAATCTTAGTAAGTACAAAAAAAAGCACTGGAAGCTTCCAAGTTGTGTGTGGTTAATTCTCAGACGAGTGATAAGCCGGTGCGTTTGACGAAGTGGACATCGCGAAGCTGCCATAGTGGCAGTACCACGTTGGCTTGGCAAGTCAACAGAGGGAAAAAACAGAAAATAAGGCACAAAGCACAGACGCGGGTGGGACGAGAAATCGCTGATAGCCGATCGCGACGGCGATGAAGCCGAGCCGTGGCCAGCGCGGTTTGACGACGAAGACGACGATGACAATAGCCGGCCATCTCGATCCCGCCGTACCGCACAAAAACCGCCATCCGTTCCTCGAAGACTTCGTACTGGCTGTTGCTACTGCTGTTGCAGCTGCTGAATCAGGCAGGCTGTGGGCGACAACGATAAACTGTACAGATTTGCAATTTCGAAGCAAAAGTCAACCAACCGGTTAGAGAGCGATACAAAAGTCACCAGTACAGTAAACTGGTCCGGCTACCAAGGATAACTAGAAGAAGTAATAGCTGCCTTAAACCACTTCTATTACCTGCCACAACTCACAACTAATTGTGCAGCAATGATGCTATATGTTGAGCTTGGCGCAGAGGGCAGAATGCCCGCTTAAGTACCGCAGTAAATCGCGGAGCATCGAACAACTAATCACTAGATTTCCATACGGAATACGTAGAACATTAAAAACTACACTGATAAGTTAGAAGGTTTATACTCAACAGAAATTAACGCCGGTTTTACGTGCTTGTAACAAACTGCTAATTTTGTACTGCTAAATAACATCGCTAAGGATAAAATTGTTCTCTCATCTCAAGGGATTCAATCGATAGAGTCGCACCCTTCACTGCTTCTAGTAGTCTTAACCAGACCACGGTCCCACGGTAATTTAGCACTTATACCGCATATGAGCAGAAAGGCACCATTTTGATGAATCGAACAATAACCTAATCGATAGACATATAGAATAAAAATTACATGACCACTAGTCTGAGAAAACTGTCAGATGAACTCAGAAACCGGCGTCTGACGTAGTTTCACATAACCGCCCAAAAAGAGAAAGGAAATATATAACCAAAGCTTTTCTCGCATGGAAATCCTGCACAGACCGCCGCAATGAACAACATTACAAAACGGAGAAACACTTCACTGAAGACCTGAAGAGAAATATGGTCATTGCTGCAAGGTGAAAGTTGCCTAATAATAACCTGAATACCATTTCTAACGGTCAGACATGATAAATCTGGGATACTCTGCCGTTTCCCACAAATGATGATGCCAAAATAACAACATAACAATAACTAATCCAAGTATTACGTATTTGCTAGCAAACTTCCAGTTTTCGACTACCCTGTGTAATTCCAGAGAAGTGGCAGGAGACTGTATTCATACCGACGTCATTGTAAATAAGCATCTGCTAATAAACCCACAATCATCATCAGCCTTTGTCGATCCATTATTAATTAGGCCTCTCCAAGAAATTGCCATAAAATTCCGCTTTCTGTGATTTTTGCCCATGCTGATCCAATGAACTACTTTATCTCATCCTACCATCGATCTGGAATTCGTCTTACCGGCCGTTTACTCTCTCCTAGAATCCAATCTAATGAATCTCTGTAGAAGAGATGATCGGCTTTTCTTGAAACGTGTCCTGTCAACTGCCACGTCAGTTTCTTCATTTTAATAATTCATCATCGCACTCTTGCTTGTCCTCTAACCAATTCTTTTGCCTTTCTGTTTTACTTGTTATTCCCAGAATGTCTTTCATGCCTCGCAGAGAACCTTAAGTTAATAAATACCACTCACGACACAGTGTTTAAACTTTATTATATATGCCTATATACCGTATCGAGGTATATCCGTTGGTGTTGGAAAACACTGCTTGATCCAGCAAAATGGTGCCATTTTGCGCCTATTTACGGCAGATGCTAAAAATACCATGGAACCGCATGCTGCATTAAGCAATGAACGATGC